GGCAAGATCCCACACTGCGGGCTGGGTGACCTTCTTGACCCCCAAGGTTCAGAGCAGCGGGGCAAGAGTGTATGCCCCCGGACCCTCCCAGCACTTCCTTACAAGTTTTTCTTTATTTTCCAGGTTCTTTAATGTGTTCCTTACACTTCCTTCTTGACAATATTGACAGCTTAAAGGGTGCTTCGTCGCACGGGAGAGGGCAGTCTCTCAAGGCCAGGACCGGTGACCAGGTGCCTGTGGGCTCAGACCTCGGGTCTCTCTGGGGTGGCCATTGGGGCTCGGGGTGTCCGCAAGTAGGGCGCGGGGTCGAGACACAAAGATGATTTATATCCAACGTGTATCTGGACCTCGGGCTGCGGTGCCTTCTTGCAACTCACTGCAGGGCCCTGGCCGAAGGAGGCGGCGGCGCCCCCTGGTGGCCAACTACGACACCAGGTCGTGACTGAGGACAGGTTCACACCACAGCGCCTTCTTGGTGGAAATGAGAGAAAAGGAGCCAAGGCCACCATGCCTCAAGTACTTATCTGTGAAATGGCATGGTAATTGCATTGCACAGGGCTGCTGTAACGACTGAAGGCTAAGCACTTCTATGGTGTCTAAGCACTCAACATACCCAAGGCCCCAATTTGGGAGTCCTGGAATTTGTGTCTGGAGAGGTGACTCCAGCCAAGGAGCCACAGAGTGTGAAACTGTCTCTTACTTTTCTCAGAAAGCTTCTGCTTTGCCGGATCCCTTGGTTCGTCTTTGGTAAGCTGTTGATCTCAGGGTTTGTGGACAGAGTTTTAAGCCAATGTTGGTTTATCCTGAAATCTCTAAAGTCATTTTGATGGATTTGGTGTGCATAATAGGGGATGTCTGCTGTATCCCACACTGATGGGCCACAGAGCAGAGATTGGGGGGTCAGCACCTGATTGGGGGTCTGAATAGAAGCAGACTCCTTTCGCCTGGAAACCAAGTCTTTCTGACTCCCATCTCTAAGCCTGAGGCACCAGGGCCAGATGAGGAGGGGCCATACTGGGAATGAGGGCATTAGGGCAGCTTCCGCTCCATCCTTAGTTGGGGCAGCCTGGAAACACAAGCCTCGAGAGAGGCTGCAAATGGCTAGGCAGCCAAGAGGCAAGGTTGGGGCCAACCAGGGAGTCCCCACTGCTTAGTGGGGACTCCTGGGGAATAGAGAATGGCCACCAGGACCCCTCCCCAGGTTGGCTGAAGCTTTGAGGGCTTCCAGGTCCTGACGGGGCAGAGGAGGGCATGGGCACTAACCCAGGAGCCAGAATAGGATGGGGCCATCATTCAGGACCTGCTGTCAGCCCATCCTCAAGGCACCTTAGGCATCCTCTGAGCCCAGCTGCCTGTCCAGCCCTTGGCCCTGCTCTCCTTATGAGCCCGCTGTCCAGGTCCAATGAGTTCTTAGAATGTGCACAGGGTTTCTTGTTCCCTTACCTTTGCCTGGAATGTCTTCTCCTGTACGCTTGAGTCTCTTGAAGTCAATTCACCTCTCAAGACCAAGATCAAACAGTTTTTGGAGCTCCCAGCAGAAGTAGCGCATAGCATTTGCACTGCCGCTATGTTAGTATCTCGTTCTTACCCCTAGTTATGTGCTCTGAAAAGGCAGGGACCACGTGCTTGCTACCTTTGTCCTCATATATGTCCAGAAGTAAGTGAGCAAGTGAAGGCCCAGGTGACAGCTGGAAGGGGCCTCGGTGGCTCCGTCTGAGGTCCCGACTCCTTGTACTGGCCTTCCAGGCTGGTGGAAGCTCTGGGTGCGATTCTTCATGTTGATCAGTTTCTCCCTGCCTTCTCCTAAGGGACCTGGCTCAGGCAACTGATCTCAGGTTGCTCAGCCTTGGCCCTTTGCCCAACAAATCTCTCCATGTCAAGAGAAATGTTCCCTGACCCTGCTCCCTCTCTCAGCACTCACCTCTCCCCTGCCTCCTCTGAGCCACCTTCTTCCTGAAGCCCCATCCCTCTGCAGACTGCCTGAGGCCTCCTCAACCTTGACTGGAAATCATCTCCTCACACTTTGGGACCCAGCATGGCACTGCCCCTTTGAGTAACTTTTCCTGACTGTGTCCCTGCACCACCAGTAACCCTGCACATCTCACTTAAACAGCCCGGTGAGTGGCTACGTGCCCTGAGGTCCGCTGTGGTAGACCATTCTAGTGCTCCTGGATAGCAGCTTTTGTCTCTTCCAAGCTTACAGGATTATCCTCCCCTGCCCCCATGCAGTGAGGCAGGGACATTCTACCACGATGACATGTGATACTTCTGGGTCAACACATTTACTTAACAGCAAGTGCAAGATCTTCCAGGACTTTCTGCTCCCGTCTCACCAACTGCGGCAGGTTGCTATGAGATGCAGGCACGTCCGGATGCGAGCAGCCTGGATTACTGAGCTGCCATTTGGAGGCCACTGCCCTGGAGTCACCAGACCCACAGTGGACTTCAGGAGCTTCTGTTGTTTCATGTGACAAGTTGGTATCCGCGTTACCAGTAAAATGAGTTTGTTAACTGTAAAGATCTGTGTACATTTCACTTACTTCATCAAGGTGTAGCAGGTACCTAGGGGGGCAGGGACTTTAGAAATGTGGGGCCCCCCTGTATCATGTGGCCTCATTGCAGATAGGGAGGTGCAAGAGAGGAGGGGTGGGCAGGGTGTGTCCTGGAAGCAAAAAAGTTTTTTATTTAGGACCTGCCAGGGTCTTGCCCAGGACCTGTTTCTGTATTTAATCTGTGATGAAAGTTTATAATGAATCTGTCTTTACTGGCAGATGCACATTTCATCCAGGTATTTAATTCCTATGGTTTTTTTTTTTAGTTTTATTAAGTTTTTTTTTTATAATATTTTGGTTTTACATCATTTTGTACATTTTTTTTTCATCTCAATTTTAATCCCCGTGGGTTTACCATCACCGAGTCACCTGTATCCTAGTTCCTGTGGTTTTAAAGGAATTTCTTGGATTTTTTGCGTTTCGATCTCTTCGTCTTGCTCTCTCTCTTACACATACACACACACGTCTGCACACACATGCACACACACAGTGTCCCTGCCAATCTCTCTGGGAATCTGTAATATAATAGACACAATATTTCATATCAGTTTGACACTGATTGCACCCAGCACCAGCTTCACTCCCCTTGTGGAGTGGCTGGAGATCAAAACAGTATTGTTTGTTTCCTGAGTATGACTATGAAACCGTCACCAGGGGGGGGTGTCCCCTTGACGGTCTATCTGTGTGCACATGTCTCAGAGTCTTTTCTCCTGAAAGCCTTTTTCTCTTGGTCCCTTTCCCCCGTGACTGTACTTTGGTTCCTGGAGCCACAGGGCTGTTTAACGGCACTTGTGATGTTCTTGCTACTTGCATAGAAAGTGGATTAATGAAATATTACCTGGTTCTTCCCACCTCCTTTACCTACCTGACATATAAAGATCTTACCATGTAAAGATCTCAGAGGAGAATGTCACCGGGAATAGAGGGGCCTCCCTCAATTCTGGCCACTGCCCCCATCAATGTGAGACTGACTCAGTGAGGCAGTTGGGGGAGGGGAGTGGGCTGTGCAGCCTGGTCTGCGTCCAGGCACAGTCAGCTGGCCATGATGGTTACGTTCTTGATTCCAGATTCCTCAGCTTCAAATGGGACCTCAAGGTAAGTCTGGTTGCCATCACAGGGTTACAGTAACGATTGCCCCAGAGGCCTTTGGCCCAAAAGATGGTTTATAGAGATAAGGTGTGTGATTCTCACTGGACTCTCTCTCTCTTATGCCGAGAAGATTCAAAGAAGGGTGGGGAAGAAAAGTTCCCACCGACTGTTCCCTCCTGGCTCATTTGCTCAGTCCTTGAGAGTCCAGGAGAGCGAGTGCAGCAGAGTGCAGCAGTCGGCCTCTGAGGACTGGGTGAAGAGGCCTAGCTGGGGTGTACACAGGAGGTGGCCTCGCCCTGGGACCTGGCCTCTCAAAGGTTTGCAGGCTCAAGGGAGAACCAGGGCCACTGGGAGGCTCAGCCTGGGAAGGAACAACAAATCACACGGTAGCGGGACACGTGGGAACCAGGGAACCAGACCCACAGGTGGTGCTAGATGCTAAATTCCAGCCAGGCAGAAGGCTGGGGCTTGAAGTTAGACATAACTGACGGAAAGAGAACGATTTCTTTGCACTCTCGAGTTCGTAGAGTGAGAATTCCACTCTCAGCGCAGACAGGAACCCAACATAAAGGTGAGTTCCTGGATGACTTTGCTGTCCCCTTGCTCCTGACTGCAGCTCCCGGAGGTCACCCCCACAGAATCCCCTTCACCTGTCATTCCTCACTTGTGTTCCCACTTACCAAAGGCCTAGTGACTCTGTAAATTCTCTGGCAGCCTGTGCACAAGTGAGCGCCCCCAAGGCTGTGTGCTGCACGCACGACCTACCACACGGGTTCCTGGGCCACCCACATCTGCCTCACATAAGGGGCTAGTTACAAGTGTCATTTTGGGGGTTCCCCTCGGACCCATGGAGGTAGACAGTGGGACTGGGTGGAGGGGCGGTCAATGTGCATCTGAACATGCTCAAATACTCAAAGATTCAAGGAAGCTCATTCAGCTCTTTTCTACAAGTGAAAGGAAGGTGACACCATCGCACTCTCTACTGGCGATCGGAAGGCAAGATTTGCTGTGGGAGCAGTAGTGTTGTCTGTGACCAAATGATCAATCACGCTTGCGATGTTAATTCCACTTTGTGTGGTGGATTTGGCTGTCATGGCCGACCCCACTCAAGGGCCATGATCAGGCTTCTGTGAGCCCAGCACCACCAGCTCTGATGGTGACCGGAGGACCATGTGACAGGGCGATGGGTGGAGAGTTGCAGCAGCTCTGATTGCCATGGCCACAGGCCCCTGGAGGCTGTGCACCAGTAATGCCTCTGGCCAGAAGGCTCTGTCTGCTCTCTGGCAGATACACATGATAATACAAATTCATGACCAAGTGGTGTCAATAGCAAAACTGTAAATATATTAATAGCAATATTATAAGAGAATAAAGGCTGGGGAGGATAACCTATCTTCCAAAATCTGAAGGTTTGCAGACAAGAGCTCAGTTAAAGGCACTGTTTTCAGAATTTGTTTAAATTGCAGCAAATAGGACCAGGGTTAGTTGCAGGGAATCATTTCCCAAGCAGAACCATTTTAAATGCTGAACTCGGCCCCTGAGGTTGCTGGAGCCTCCCTTCCTGAGCGAAATCTCTGGAAAGAAAGCTGGTGGCTTTGGAAACAGTTGTCTAGAATAGCTTTTGCAGAGACCTCGTCTCACAGCAGGTTGGCCACTGACACAAATTTTGTGGCCACCGCCGTATAAGGTGGTTTCTGGAATGCTTCTGGAGGATTCTTCCAAGAGGAGTGGCCAGCTGCCCAAGGGGCTGGGTGAGTCAGCTCTCTGTCCCACAAAGGCACAAGGTGGGGCACGGAGGGGGTCAGGATCCTGCTGAAAGTCTCTGGCTTCTTGCTGTGTCTCCTTCACCCCCAGAGAGAACATTCTGGGAGGAGGCCCTAGTATTGATGGATGAAGGGAGGGACGATCACAGGGAAACTTGGTGGCGAACCATGTAGTGGCATTGTTTACTCGAAGCTTGTCTCCAATAAATTACAGATCTGTTGATGAAAGGCCTTCTCCACTGACCTTTAACTCTGACCCTTTACCCATAGCAGCAGTATTTCGTGACCCAGGACCACAGGGGATGTCCACCTCTCTGGAGGCACTGAGAAAAGGCTTAGAAAATGTTGCTTTATACCAACTGTATTTGACAGCAAGGAAGTCAACCACATTGGCTTCTATTTTGCCGACTGATTTTCTGCCATCTTGGACCACCTCTCTTCACTTGGCCTAGAGGATAAAGGCCAGACAGGAAAGTCTGCTTAAGGCTGCCAGGGAAACTTGAGGAAGGTGTCCTTATCACCCTGCGGTGAGGGGCTCACCTCCACATTGTGAAGGTGGGTAGCTGGGCATCAGGGCCATGTCACACTCGCCCTCAGGCCTTCAGCGTGGTGTGAAATGTTGCTCCACACAGACAGACGGGTATACAGAAGAGTCTAGAGCTAACATGCACGGCAGTTGGAGGCCCCATCTTCAGGGTGTCATATCCTGATCCAGCGCTAGAGGGTGGGGGAACTGAGAGGGCCCATCTGGCTATGCTTCCAGTCAGCTTCTTCCAGGCAGGAGGCGAGGATCTGACAGGAAGGGAACCAGCCCCTCCGGTGTTCTGTGCTGATGTCAAACCTAGAGGCAAAGGGGATGACAGCCAGGCCCCCTCCCTTGCTTGGGTGTGGTCATCAATAAGCCAGCCCACTCCCTTTCTCCTCTGGGCAGTAACCCTGTTTCCCCCTCCACTTAGTAAACGGTCCCCCAGAGAGCTGGTGGGGGCAGGGGCTGCCTCTGTGGGCATCCTTGCTGGAGGACCCAGTACTGAGGGGAGCCTGAGCATGTGGGGGTTCCTGCTAAGGAGCCAGGAGAGACCTGCCCCTCCAGCTCTGTGCCCAGCCAGCCGAGGTGCATGGTGGTCCCCAGGGACCCTCCAGGGGCCTTTGGGAGGAGGAGGCAGGGAAGGCAAATGGTGAAGGGGTTTTCTTTCTTATTTAAAAAATTAAAAGGAAATTCCATATTGACATTAGTAACTACAGGCATATGGAGGGGCAGGGTCCACTCTCTGGAGCAGGGTAGTGGCCCGGCTCTGGGTCAAGCTTCAGATGAGGCCGGCAGCCTTCTCCTGCACGTTGTACTCCTTGTTCTTCTTAACTCGCCAGCTGGTGAAGAGGAGCAGCAGTGTGCCCAGTGCTTTGTAACCCATCTGCAGGCCTAGGTATCTGTGGGGCAGGAGGAGACAGGACCGGGAGGGGTGTGAGAGGCCCTGTGGCCTGAGTTTTGGGGCAAGGGCACAGAGCAGTGTCGTTCTCTCAGTGGCCTGAGGAAAAGGTCTCCGCCCATCACCACCCAGGTGGGCCACTTTTCTCATTTCTTTGACAGCAGGGTACAAGTCTCCCAGGAAGTGGGAAGGAACTAGGCCTAGGTCAGCTCACCTAGTAGTCTTCATCCTCCCACTAACACTCCCAAGAGGGCCAGAGATGACATAGTAGCCAGCCTGGAGGGGCCTGTCCTCCCAGAACAGCCAGAAAGAGGGGGGCACCTTTACTGCCCTTATGGTGTCCCTCTCTGGGCCTTCTGGACCACTCCTCCCTGTTCCACATTCCATGCAGCTCACTGTTTCTAATCTGTGTGGTGACAGCAGCAGGTGATAGAAGGGGTGCAGCTGGGCTGGGACCCACTGATGCAGGTCCCCCCGACCCGCCCACCACCTTGCTCAGGACCCACTATAGGATCACCCCTTTCTGAGCAACAGCAGACGAGCCTGGCATCACTCCACAACCACGGCCTCTCTGGGATGACGCCACCCCCCCTCACCCCACCCCCACACACACACTTTGACACACTTCTGCTGTTGTCCCTTTTGAGAGCTTATGGGGGCTGCAGTGGAGGTTGTAGAGTAGCCCCCTGCAAAGTGCTCTTTGAGCCCTGAAACCTCTGTCACTGGTGACCGGGGCCTGTCCATGGAGTGCCCCCCTGGCCCTCTCTGGAAGCCTGCAAGTCCTCACATTAAGCACGGAGAGGAGTAGATGCCTGAGGCCTGGACACTGGCCTCCTTGGTACCCACCTGTCTCGGAGACTGTCATTGTCATAGTAGGCACAGGCCCCTCGCCTCCCTGAGCACTGTGTGTTCCACCGGATGCAGGAGGAGTCGATGGTTAAGCCGTAGAGGGCAGGAGATGGAAGCCAGGCTAGCATCAGGGGAAGAGAATTTAGAAAGCCAAGGTCACTTGGAGCAGCAGACAGAGAGGCACCAGGCAGGGGGTGGTATCAGTGCCCCCCAGCACCCTGCCTGGCTCACGTGTGAGAGAATGGCATGGTGCAGCCCTGGAGACATGCGCCTGGAGCTAGACCTGCTCTCTGGGAGGGCTGCGTCCTCTTTCAGAGAAGGCTAGCAGGAGAAGAGGGACCCAAGGCCTCCCCTCTGGGCAGAGAGGATCACAGAGGTCACCCAGATGCCAGTCAGGCAAACAACATAGTTCCCACACGTGGGACTGGTCTCCAGAGGTCACATGCTGACCTGTACTGTGTGGCAGGCTCTTCAGGCTGTAGGCTGAGCGCCTTCATTTTAACGGCCAGTGCATTTGACCAGATCGCTGTCACTAGCCAAGAGAGTCAGGCTGGACTTTGGACCCTCACCTACAGAAGTTCAATTCCTTGTGTTCTAGTACCATGAGCTGCCTGTTGGCTCAGACCCACAGTGCCCTGGACGTTCAGAGCAACCTCCCCAAAGCTGGTCCAGGGACTGTGCTTGAGCAATGTTAAATCTTCAGAATGGCCTGTGTCAGTAGCTGCAATGCCAGGCCATCAGCACACTGGGGCGGGGTGGCTGGTCTTCAACCCACACTCAGGCCTGGCCACCAATTATTTAGAACATACAGAGGGAGCACGGCCTCTCAGACTCTGCTCAGGACCCCTTTCTGGAGCTGGAGCTTGGGGCTCCAGTCCTACATGGGACTGTCAAGAACCACTATCCCCACTCAGACCCTGCTCATTCCCAGTCTCCAGATGAATGGGGGATGGAAGCCAGCCACAAGGACTGAACTCTGAGGATGCTTCCTTAAATAGCAACAAAGTCCAGAAAAAGTCTCAACAAATCCCAGTGGGGAGTTTTAAACTTGCCTGGATTTGTAGATACAAAAGCCTTTTTTCTGCCACAGAGTGGAATTGCACTCTGGGGTGATGAAAGGAATCTCTCCTGGCCTGGGTTTTCTAACTATGGTCCACATTTAGTTATCTGAGCTCAGGTGAAAAAACAAAGGCAGTGAGTGCTTTGAGCAGAGGGAGAGAGCTGGCTTTCAAGGTGGCTGGAAGAACTGGGGCAGGGCTCGTCGGGGTCTGTCTCTGCCCCTGCTTGGCGGTGTGGAATGCAAGGTTTCCTTCCTGGTGGAGCTCCAGAACAAGTGCTAGGGGAGTACTAGTTCTCTATGCTCTGCCAAGATGACAGGGTGTCTCTTGATGCTTGCACGGGCCAGAGAGGGTCCAGAGGATAAAGAGGCAGGAGGTCAAGAAGCCCCCTTAGAAGAGCTGGTTCATTCCTCATCATGCATTCTGGGGTGAGCAAGGGCCTGCAGGGCTCACAGTGGTGGGGTGGGAGCAAGGACCTGCAGGGCTCCCAGTGGTGGGGTGGGGTTGGGGGAGGTGATACCAATGCCCCGAATGATAACAGAAACCATGGCGGACTGAGAAGAGCCTTGGCTCTTGGATGATGGTGCACAGCGGATGCTGCAGGCATTTCAGCATTTGAGGTTGGAAAGTGCATGTTGGTAGTAATTACAGTCCTGCTGCCGCAGGCGCCATGTTCTCCACTGCAGGCGCATCCACTAACATCCTCATAAATAGCTCTGCAGTTGAATTACTTCTCTTTACCTGTTGCTGCAAGGTGCACATATCAGTGCCCAGTGCTCAGATTAATCTATTGCTGGATATGTCAAAAGTATCTGGGAAAAAGGGGGTGCTGATGAGGCCAAAGCACCCCCACTCCATGTCTATGCACTCCAGGGTGCTGGGTGTTCCCTGCTCCCCACGGGAGCACCTTCCTGGTGCAGAGGTGCAACCTGTGCACAGCTCCGCTCCTCCCTGGGTTCAGGCAGGGTTGCCAGCAGAGCGCCCCCTGTGGAGAAAGTGCTGAATAGCAGTAGGAGGTGTGAGCTGCCAGCTGGGAAGAAGCCAGGGCTGGGCTCAGCTGCCCTTCTGACCCCACAGGAATGCAAAGGTTTTGTTTGTTTCTATGGCACGAATTCTCAGAGAAAAAGTAAAAAATACCTGCCTTTTATTCTGTGTCCTCAGCTAGGTTCACTTTTTATTTTTCATCTAATTTAGTTTGGAGTGAATGTAGTGGAATCTTTCCTGCGTGGGAAACGACCTACGTAGGTGCTTGCAGTTGTCCTGATAATGCACAGCTTCTCTGTGCAACAGCGATGAGGCAGGGATTTCCCCAGTCCCACCCTGCACCCAGAATGCTCGGATGTCCAGGGCTACGCTCAGGAAGCGGGCCACTGCTCAGACACTTACCCAGAAGGCGCATCAGCAAGAACTGTACCCCGATAGCAAATGACTTTTCTTCCTGGTTTACTACACTGGAAAGGAAAACAGGAAATCAGCTTGAGGACTCAGGGCCATGCCCTCCCTCTGAGTGGGGACAGCCAACTTTAAGTGTGTGGAAACCTGTCTTCTGATGACCTCACAGCGACCTGGCTGCCAGCACTGCCAGTGTGCTTGTCAGTGGACCCCAACTTTGAATGCTGGATTAGCAGCGCCTATAGACTAGCGGAACTGAAATGCAGGTTCCCCGGGCCCACCTCGGACCTCAGGTGCTTTTGGGTGGGGCCCAGCCCCAGCCCTCTGTGTTCTAGACCCTCTCCAGGAAACTGATATTCGAGAACTACTGCTCTCTGTGACTTTCAGGGCTGACTGCTCAAGAAGCCAAGGGCTGGGTGGAGGAGGCTTACTGGAGGGAAAGGGGCTGGATGTTTATAATACAAAACTGACAACTTCCTGAGGAGATGATGCAATGTGTTAGTAGGACTTGGGCCGTAGACTTCTGTGTGCAACTAACAGAATCCCCTACCTCAGGTCCAGAGGTCACCGGTATGTGTAGTCACACAGAGATGCACACACAGAAACACCCCGTGTTTGTTTGTTTGCTTGTTTTTAAAGATTTATTTATTTATGAATACAGAACTGGGGTACAGGCCAGAAGTGCAGGCGCGGTGAGAGGATTCACCAGAGACAGAGTGGGGAGCAAAACAGGCTGACTGACGAAATACTTTGCTGAGGGGAGCAGTGGGCAGGTCAGGAGAGGTCTGCCACGCCATGTGGGTCACCTCCGGGGTGGGGGATCGAACTCACACTGAAGCGGCGGCGGCCAGCTTGCAGTGCTGCATCCTAACCCGTTGCGCCACTAGGGAGGGCTCTGTTTGTTTGTTTTTAAGATTTTATTTATTTATGTGTACAAGCCATATTTATTCATGGGGTACATGCCAGAGGTGGGCAGGGGTTGGAGTGAGAGGATTCACCAGAGACAGAGTAGGGAGCAGAACAGGCAGACTGAAGTACACTGTTAAAGGGAGCAGTGGGTGAAATAGGAGAGGTCTGCTGCACCATGTGTGTCAGCTCCCTGGCTGGGGATGGAACTCATGCTGAAGTGGCTGCGGATAGCTTCACAGTGCTATGCTTTAACCCGTTGCGCTACCAGGGAGGGCCCTGTGTTTGGTTTAATGCTCTAACATGGCTTTCTTGACATTCCTCATAATTTTGTAACAAAGAGCCTCACATTTTCATTTTGCACTGGGACCTGCAAATTATGCAGCCAGTCTTGCCCATATTCTTCCTTAAGAGGAGAGCCTGGTTTGGTTGAGGAAGGAGAGTCAGAGTGAGAGGGGAGAGAGGCTCTCTGGAGGTGGTGCTGCCAGGCCCCACCAGTCTGGAGAGGATTGGGAGGTCACTCCCATACATAAGGTGGGGAGCCAGGAGCTGGTGGTAGAGGTGTCTACACTCCGTGTTCTCCATGCTCTGGGAACATACTGTCAGGTGGGTGCTTGCCGAAAAAGTTGAGGGACCCCTGGGAAGGGAATTCGGGTAACTACGAGATCTCAGCACATATTTTGCTTTATCTCCACCATCACAGTTTTCCTAGTAAACTGAAGAGAGGCCTTCTGCCAGCTCCTCTGAGGGAGCACCCCATGAGGCAATGCTCAATGGGTGTACCAGAAGAAAGAGGCTCCTTCTGAGATCCCCTCAGTGGAAAGGCCACCAATTTCTTTCTAATGGGTTCTCCCTTCACGCCTACAGATCCCTCTAGCAGCCGCACGTATAATTGGAATCTCCTGTCTTAGACCTTGCTGCTGGGCAGACTCCTCCAGATTCTCAACTAAATGGGATTTAGGCACCCCAGTTCAACTTCTGATGGTGCTCTAGGGACCCTTCTAGTGTCTGTCCCATTAGCTGCACCCTGTGTCATTGCAGCTTTCTGACTACTTCTCTCCATCCACATTTTTGGGCAGCCTTCACGTGCAGCCTGTGTTCCTTGGACGGGGCCAGGACCGACGGGGACAATGTCTGGGCTGCCACAACCTCTTTCGGCTTCACCTTCTTCGTGTAAAGTAGCGGTCACTCCCTCAACTTTTCACCTTCTTCGTGTAAAGTAGCAGTCACTCCCTCAACTTTCCCAGAGGGCTTTATATGTAAACTGTTTAGTATTTCCGGGGTCTCTTCTCCAGTGCTCTCCCTGACCACACTTGGGAGATTTTTTCCTAGAAAAGCCATTCTGTGGTTGAATTGATGCTCCTTCTCCGCTATTTTCCCAGTGCTGGGCTTTGCCAGATGTCCTCTGGGAGGTGACCTGCCAGAGACCGCTACTACTCTCCCCACTACTAAGGATTGCCCTGTGAAATGTCCTGAGCCTCGTTACGTCCACCCAGATCTATCGTCAGGCCCAAAATGGTCTGTCTGACCTGGGGAGTAAGGACCCCCCCCCCCAACACATGCATCCCCATCTGCCTCATGTGCCTTAGGTGAAAAACAGTATGTGGAATACAAATCTGGGGGGTAGAGAAGTTGACCATGGTTTGGGAGCAGCACCAGGCCATGGGCTCTGGGAATTCCCACTTGTTCTTGCTGTGCATGCTAAGAAGGTGGGGTTCATCTGCTCCTTTCCTGGGCCATTTCTCAGAGTTGTGGCTGCGACCAACAACCTTGAGGCAAGAACTGGAATGTTCCCTAGACCAAGAGCAGGCGTGGTGCATATAAGCAAGGGCTCTTGGAACCTCAGTGCTCCTCGGTGTCTCTTAAACTCACTGCATGTGAGCCAAACGCCTGGGCCTCTGTGTGCTCCCCAGAAGAATTGGGGGCCAAGGACTAACCATGCAACATGAGGTTCAGGCTGCTCTTTGGGCAGTGAGGAGCAGAGTTTTTTAGGTTTGACTCAGAAGTATCCTGTCTTCTGCTGGCATGCTTGAAACAATTAACAGAAACAGGAGCGTAGTAGCTGGCTAGCTCTCTTGAGAGTTCATGTGCAAAGACTTTGGTAATAAAATCTCAGACCCTGATAGTGGCTGTTTGGCTCCTTCCTTATCTCCTGGCCTTCTGGGGAAATAGGTCATTGACACCTAGCTAGCTATTAATAATAGTCATTATTATAATTTGGTTAATAGTGATAATTGACCAATATGTAAAGCACCTTGTATTTAGAAAGCAATTTACCACATAATCCTGACACCACTCCTCTGTGGTCAGTCTCCTTCATTATCCCCATTTCATAAATGAGTGAGCTGAAGCTCAGTGGGGCTGGCAACGCCCAAGGACACTGCCAGCCCATGGCGGAGGGGACCTCTGACCCCGCCACTGGCCACCCAGTCCTGTGTTGTCCCTCTCTGCTTGTGCTGTGGCTAGTGTGGGGCAGGTGATCTCAGCTGTTTTCTCCTTGCAGAGGGCTGGTGAAGGGAGGGCCATCCTGTGGCATCTCGGTGCCCTGTGATGGGGCCCCACTGTCCTCTTCCCCGCTCTGGCCAGTGGTTCCCTCCACACCTGAGAACTTCCTTCTGGCCCGCTCACCTTTCCTCATTTTCATCCTTTCCCGTGGCCCTCACTGTCTCTGACACCTTCCTCATTTCCTTTCTGAATTTTGTGCATTCAACTGAATTCTCCTCCCCCCTCTTAGTTCTTTTAGCATTTAAAAGAGCTAAGGATTTTTGGATTTAAACAGCATTTCCCTGGCTTCACCATGTGACTCAGCCATTCTCTGGCTCTGCCCTCCTGGGCTGTGTCTGCTCTGAGCACAAGGGAGGTGCTGGGAGCTGCTTGTGGATGGGGGAGTGTGTGTGGTGGGGTAGCCTACTCGGGGCGCTGCCTTCGTGGTGTCCGCCACATCACCTACAGCAGAGCACACTCACGTGCAAAAAGCTCTGAGGGCCAGAAAGGAGAGAAGCAGGCAGTGGGCACAAAGCAAAAAGACCTGAGTGGACAGAGAGGCCCGGCCCGGACAGGGGCACACTCACCGCAGAACCATCATGTAGAGCGGGTTGTGGGAGGTGCAGGCTATGAGGGACACGAAGGAGATGAGGAAGATGGCCGGAAGCAGTAAGTGGGCACACGAGATAGGGCATGGTCCGGTTTTTGCCGAAGCTGATCCTCCAGTCACACAGCTGCAGTTCAAATAGGTCTTGAAAAGGAAAGGGGGGAGGGCACGCCTGCAGTTATTTCTCCACACACTTCAAACACCTGTACCACATCTGGCAGACTCCCTCAGCTTCCGGGACCTCTGGGGCCACCCTGTGGTTCCCTACCAAGCTGGGCCACGTGGGCTGGGAAAGCTGGAGTGGAGGCCAAGGGAGCGGGTCAGGGCACCCCACGGGTTTCTTCTCTGCCCGCTGCATTCAGTTTCCGGTTGTCTGGGCTTCTCCACTGGCTATACCGGTGCCACCAAATGTGGGATTCCATTGCCAGGCAAGGTCCACGCAGTTTGGGGTCCGGAGCCTGCCCAGCAGCAGTGGTTTGGTTTGCTGTTTTTGCTGTTGGCCTGTTTACTGCAGGGAGGATGAGGAAGGCATGAATAGGAGACCTCAGTGGGAACATCACTGAGCTCATCATCTGTCAGGCTTTGTCTGGGGCTTTCTGCCTGAGACTTCTTCCTGTCTGTAAAGGACTCCAGAGAAGGAGGTGTCTACCTCTGGTCTGCAAGTCCATTTGACGCAAAGCTGTTGCACAGCTTGACTACTGCCCATAGCAGGTGATCTTCATCTTCTCTCTTGCAGTGTCTTGCAGCCTATGACATTTAAGTATTATAGCAAGTGTGGGGTCAGAATTGGACCTATTGAGTTGGTATACTTCTTTCTGCCAGACAGCGGGAACTACGTCCCTTTTTCACCTTGGCTGCCAGGAAGCTCAGAAGTAAGTTCTGTGCCATATGGCTGCTAGTTCCCTCAGTCTGGAATTTTGTAAGCAGGTCCCCCCACCCCTTATTATGCTTCTTTCTTGACATGGTAATGGATATACATGTGCTGTTGTTGGAAACATGCCAGGATTATTTATGAAAGTAGATGACGCAGAGGTAAGTAAATAAAGATAAGGAAACCAGAGAAGTCACCACAGACTATTCTGATTTGAAGACAACTAACAGAGCATCTCGTCTAAGCTTTGGCCCCTTTTTTACCGGGGACCCCTGCTCCTCTGCCCACAGAGGTGGCTGTGGAAGCAGCCTTGCTATGTCTCCGTAGAGCAGTGGTAAGTGGGTTCACCTTGTCCATGCCCTCTAAGCAGGGGGAGGAGGCCCATTCTTCTCCTAGGGCAGCCTTAGGGAGACTCTATGACTCTGCATGGTTCTTAGGGAAAGCAGAACATCTAACTCTTAGCTTGGTCTGCCTGGATCTGGTCTCTGCCAACTCCCTGGCCCAGTTATGTGCGATACGCCTTTCTCGGTATCAACTTTGCCTTTCTCTCTTTCTCACGAGCCCAGTTCATTTACGCCTGGGACTTGCACATGCAATTCCTTTACTGAAACACTTCATAGGGTTTTCTTCTGCTGTCCCTTCTCTGAGGTGTCCCCAGCACTCTGTCCCAATAAGTGTCTTCTTCATAGCATGTGGGTTACTAAACTACCTTGCGCCTTTTTTTTTTCTTTTTCTTTTTTATAGAATGCAAACTCCATGAGAAGAGGGCGCTTGTCTGGGGTTCACCTCTAAATCCTAAGTACCCATGACAATGCTCAGTGTTCTCTAGTTATTTGGATAACTTAAAGAATAACTCGAGTGGATTTGCTGATGGCTGACTCTACAAATCTGGAAGCCAGAGAGCTCAGGGTGCTGGATAGGACCTCACCCAGAGCAGCCTGAATGTGGGCTGCATGAGTGAAGGCTGGTAGGCACGAAGTACACGCCCTTGAATGGATGTGTCTGCGGGGTCTCACTGGGCAGGGGTCTGGGTTCGAGTCCCAGATATGCTCTACGTAGTTACATTATTTCAGGCCAACTGTGTGTCTGTGCCTGGGAGCAGAGGGGCTAAGGCAAGCCTTTGCAATCACCGCTCTGGGCTCTATCTTTCCAGGATCACATCACAGAGACCCTCTTCCCTTCATTTATCTGGGCCAGGCTATGTGGCTTCGCAGCACGGGCAGGACACAGGACCTAGGGATGCCCATTGGGTGCTGCCAGGGGGAGCATCTCAGCTGAAGGAGTGCCTTGGCTTGTTTCTGCTGAGCATGATTGTGTTGAACACTGGCCAATCTTTAATTGACTTCAGGCTGTAGGTATCTGGTCATGGCCTAGGGGAGGGGAGGTAGAGAGACAGCGGGTGTGGCTCAGAGACCAGAATGCTGGCATGTGCCCCGTGGAGCCCTGCCCATCTCGGAGCCAGGCGTGGTGTATGAGGGCACCGGGAGACCCTGCAGGCTTCTCCCGCCCTTACCAGCTGCTTGGAATCTTCCGTGCTCTTGTTGACATTGCTGCAGCCCGCGTGGCAAGGAGAGAGGTACTCTACCCCATTGTCTCCACAGACCGGGTGGAAGATGGCTTCGGTGCACGAGCAGTTCCTGCGGCAGGCAAGAGGCTGCGGATGTATAGAACTTGATGTGCTGCCAGCAAAACAGGAAACAGGGAATCAAACAAAGCAAGACCAAAGAAGAATCTTTCCATGCCAACCAGGATAAGTTCCCTGCCTGGTTAGTGTGCCTGTATCTCTGTTTGTCTTGGGTCAGTGCCACCCGGGATCTGAATTATGCCTATTGGAGCCAGTAGTGATTTGCTGCTGGCTAGTACTCAAGGCATCTCTTCGTTTCTTCTGCTACTTGGACCCCAAATCCACCAACTATTGGCTGGACAGGTTTGGTCAACAACTCCCTTTCCCCCAATCAAAGATGTCAAGACGGCCCCCGGGACTTGATGCCATGGGGAAGTGTGAGAGCAGCTCTCCTCGCCCACCTAGGCTCAGGCTAGAGGCAAAGGCTGGGAGCCCTGGAGGTAACCCGAGGTTGGGAGGGCTCGCTGTCTCTGGCTCTATACTGACATTGCCCAGGCCACTCATCCCAGAGCTTTAACCAAAGGGATTTCACTGGCTGATCTCATGATGCACACTGTCCTCCACTGCTGACCTCCCTGATCTTCCTGGGAGGCGGCTGGGGTAGGGGCTGACCAGTCATCACTCAATGCTCTGCTAAAATAACTATGCAGATAACGGCGAACAGTATGGTGATATGTCTTAGGTGCCAGACGCTTCGAGTTGTTAGCACAGCCACTCTGCATTTATGCTCCTTTGATGGATGAGACAACTGAAGACTAGATAAGTGAAGTAACTGTCCCTACCATGTGAAGAGCACTGTCAGCACGAGGACCCAGCCTGGTGACAAGGCCATGCGCTACACTTCCAGAAGTCACCAATGGGCCTACAAGTTTCTCACCCCTCACAATCCATAGCCTGCCACCAATGGGCCTACAAGTTTCTCACCCCTCACAATCCATAGCCTGCCGCCAATGGGCCTACAAGTTTCTCACCCCTCACAATCCATAGCCTGCCGAAGTCCAGTACAAACTGGGGGGGGTGTCCAAAGCCAGAGCAGTCCTCCTTTCCGTAGTGCTCGCTCCCTCCTTTGCCCACCAAAGAGAGAAAGGTTCTTCCAATGAGAAAACACCAAGGCAGAAAGGTACAATATCTCTGAATGTCACATCCTTAGTGGGAAACATCTAAAAGAAGAGGTAGTTGAAAGGTGGCTCCCAAGAAGAAATGAAAAATGCTCTTTGACCAGCACCCTCCCTCACAGGCTACTAAAACCTTCCAGGCTTAAAACTGAGGACGCGATAGCTCCATGCAAAGAGGCAGGTGAACTGCCCTCTTCCTCATCTGCCTTACTTTCATCCTTTCCCCAACTTGTCAAGTCTCTTCTCATCTTTCTTCAGCAACTCAATGATACTGTAACTCTAGCCAGCACTTAGCCAATGCTAAACACAGCTTATTTCCTACAGCCCGTGGCTCATAGCCCTGACATACCCCCAAATGGAACTTATTAGTTTTTGGAGCTCCTTAAAACACAATTTTAATCCCGATTGCCAGTGATCCCTATAGCCCTTTGTCTCTTCTAATACAAGAGCACACTACTTAAAACTTGGTTTTCTAAGTTGCCACGTAAGAGATTAGATCAAAAGAAGAGAAGAAGAGAAGAGAATTGAGAAAGCAGGAAGACACAGGCAGTCAGATCCAGGCTCTGGCCTTAGCAAAGGTTATCTCCTCACCCCTCATCCACATTACCTGGGGGGATAAACCTCTGCCACAGTGGGGGTGGAGCACCCCATGAAGAAGAGAGGGGTACAGAGGATCATGGAGATGGTGATTATGGTGGCAGCCACTCGGGGGATGGTTTGTAGAGAGAAAACAAAACGCTTCATGAGGATTCCACCAAACAGCATCCCCAAGGCCGCAGCAGGCAGGTTCACAGCACCTGTGCATGGAGAGAATCTGGTCTGGGTGTGTGCGCCTGGGGCGTGTGGGCCACAGACACCAAGTTGACCACAGAGAAGGGGCTTCCTGAAGGAACGTTTGGTGTGTTCCTTTGCTACAGTCATAGCCAACATTGATTGCAAATGTGCCGATTTCCAGACAATCCATTGCATTATCTCACACAGATGGTTGCCCTGCCTGTGCAAAGAATAAGGAAGGAAGGAAGGCTCCTGCAGCTGTGGGTTGGTGGTGTATTCATTAAGCACCTTTCATTACCTGGACGCTCATTGCATCCTCACAGTGACCACATGGGTCTAGAAAGGCCCATACAGTGAGCCCTGCCATCCAGAGACCCAGGAGGGGTGAAGTCACAGCCAAGAGCCACACAGGGGGTCCGGGGTCATGCTCTGTCACTACCCTGTCACATCCGTTTGGGAAAGTCATCCCCTTGGTGCTTGGTGGGACCACGCAGTGGTTCTCAATCTTGTCTGCAAAATTCCCTATGTGGGGCCCTACTCACAAGGCTTTCATGGACTGAAGGGGGAGCCTGGGCACCTGATTTAAAACCTCAGCTTTCCAGGGGAGCCTAAAGTGTGGGTTAAGAATCACTGGGCTACAGACTGTCTTCCCCCAGAAGATGCATTCAGGCCCTTGGGAAAGAAGGAAAATGAAGGCATTTTTATCCTAACTCCAAATTTGACCCTCTCATTCCTTTGTTATTCCTGTCGAAGACAGGGCCTTTGGGAGGCTGTCAGGCTTCTGCTCCCTCTGATGGGGAGGAAGGTGGCCCCTCGCCTCCTCTCACTCCTGCTTGGTATGATACGGGTCCCAGAAATCTCCCAAAATCATTCTAGATTGCCAACCAGGAAAAATGTCCTTAAAATTCTTTCTACTGGGCAAGTCCTTGTGTGGCTCCTGTCTGTGTCCGGTCTGGCCTCGCCAGCTTACATGGGCAGCAGGAACGCCCAACCCCTCCCTTCAGGCGGACTGCTACTGCCCTGTCCCTGGGGACTCACCAATGAGGAAGTTTGCGTAGGCCGCTGAGGCGCCATACTGTTTCTCCAGGAACTTGTTGAGGAATGTGGAGAGGCCGGCAATGACAGAGGAGAAGGTGCACTGGCTCAGGACCACCAGCATGAAGAGTGGGTTCATCAGGAGCCTCAAGAAGATACGGGGAAACCCTACGAGCAAATTCCCCTCAGGGACCAGGCCTCCATGGCAGAGAACTGCTGACTGACCCCAAATTCCTCCTCATTTCAGGCAGCTCTTCTCTCTTCCTGGGACTGTATCTGAGCTGCTCCGTCCAGGGGCACACAGCCCTCGGACACTGACTCATGTTCACAGGCTAAATCTGTTACCACCAACCCCCTGGCAGAACCCTTCTGGGCCACCACAGACCACCTGCTCTTACTGCCCCTCACCACACACAGTATCACACGGGCTTGGGGTATCCCCTAATCCTTCAACCTAACTCCAATCTGGTCCACCCAGGGCTGCCCAGTCAGTTACGTTTAATGAAATCCACCAGGGAGCTTCTTGGCTTGATGTCATCCATCTTCCTTGTCTCATCCACTATGGCAGGAGACCTCTGAAGGTAGCAAGGAGGGAGAGTGTTAATGGCCCAGTCTTCCTGCAGCCACCATTCCCTGGGGCCTTGACCCTTCTGTTCTTGGCGGCTCTGGCCTGGGGCACAGTGGACAGCCACAGGTGTGAGTGTGAGAGGCTGCCCTGTGCTTTGGCCACTGACCACAAGGCATCTATGACAACTGCCTCCCAAGATACCCTGGGTTCATAATTTCCCATCTAACATTTCCATGACTGATACCAAAAGCTGCTTGATTGGATCCTGCCCCTGGTTGATCTGTCAGAGCTCAGCTTCTCTGTCCTCAGATCCCGGCTGGCTTCTAGAACGCTCTAGTCCAGCATGTCGTAATTCCAGTTCTCTCTGTCTTTTCTGTGGAGCCCCTGCTTCTACTCAAGTGCCAAGGTGAGTCCTGCTCAGTCCTGTCCTGGCCCTCTGCCAGAAATTCCTGTGTAGACTACGTCCCTCTTTTGAACTCATCGGTTGTGGTTCTGGACCACACAGCTGCATGGTCTCTGAGCCCTGACACTGTTAGGGGCCCCAAGCGTGGCAATTCCCATTCACTGAGTGCTTGCCCCATGTCAGGCTCCATGCCTAGCATATTCCACATGGACTGTCCCATTCTTCACAACCTCCTGAGACACATTCTTTAGCTCCAGTATTTTAAAGGGGAAAACTTAGGAGAAAGAAAAGTGCATAAGATCGCACACTTCGTTTCTAAGTAACAGCCAGATTCAAACTAAGGCTTTGCCTAATCCTAAAGCTACAAAAGTATACTACCAACATCTGAAATTTTCCCTAAGACAAGCTGAGACCCTCTGCTCTGCACTCTCCCAGACTGTCATTAAATTCTGTCTCTGGTTCAAAAATTTGAACCCCTCTTCCAGCAAAGCCCCTAACAGTCCTGTAGTGGACTCCAAGATCATCCATGACTGCCCTTGCCTCAGTTATCCAGTAGCCGTTCCTGCCTCACTCCCTAACCAGAAACTACTTTCCATGTTGCTCCCTAAGTGTTCACCTCGACACTGAAGCACCCCAAACTCCATGGGATCAGAACAAGTTTTAGACACATTCAGATCCCCATCCAGACTTCTTTTCCATTTTCATCCTCCCATGATTCTTCACTCCAATGGCTATGAATGGAACACACACAGGAAGGACATTCTGCTCAAAACATGCTACACTCTACCTATTCTCACCCTTTTTGGCACCCAGAGCCCTTTCTTACTCAGTCCGTCAGTCTCAAACAGAGATGGGCCTTATTGCCTGCAAAAGTCAAATGTACCAGGTCACACAGATCTATCTCTTAACTCTGCAGTCCAATTTAGATGAAGTAGCGTTTCCCAAACTACATTCTCTGCAGCCCTCCTGATCCCTGAGGTCCCAGGGAACAATGATGAGATACCATCTTTGGAAAATTCACCCTCATCTCTCAAAGTCTCTGAGAAATCCTGCTTCATAAATTTGTTTAGATTTCACCCAGAATTTGCTAAACCTGTTGCAACTTCACAGTTTTGTTTTTCTATTCCACCTCCTTGTCTTGAACTCCCAGAGAGAGAGTTAAGTGTTTTCAGAACATTACCTCGACTCCACTGGGCATTGCTCGAGGAAAGAAAAAAAAGGGGAAAGAACTGAGAACCAAGGTGGCAGAAGAAATGAGCAGGCCCAGCCACCAGGCTCCAATCCATCGGGGATCTCTGGGGCTCAGGTTAACTGCAGCTGAAGAGAAACCAAAGGACATAAGTGATTGTTGGATAAGTACATGATTTCACCTTACTGGAAAAAAAATCTTTCAACAAGGGAGGTTTGTTGACTTCCTTCCTGTGGCAAAGATGAGGTAAGCCATGAGTTAGAACCTAATCAAGACAAGCTTTCTTCTCCAGACCGTTCTGGTCTTTCCAGAAGATTAAGGCCACTGTTCACAAGGCGGAGCTTCAGAGAATTTCCAGGATGAAGGGGTCAGACCTGTACCTCACTTGTTTATTCCTAAGCCTTGGGAGGAATAATGATGAAGTCTGCTGACTCTCTTGAGGATTAACCACAAGTCAGACATGAGAACACATTACATCTACTATCTTGCTGGGTTTCCCCAAGTCTGGTAAGGTAGGAGTTCTGTCCATCTACCTCCAACCAGTCAGGCAGCAGGATCAGAGAGTTTAACCTTGTCTTAGACCCAGCAAGTGACACTTCATTGGTCAACTTCAAACTGTCAAATCTGCACCTTTTTGTCAAATGCTGCTGCCTCCAATCTTTCTTGATCCCTAAGAATGGGAGCCCCATAATCTCCAAGGAAACAATCAACAGAGTGGGTCATCTGGCCTCCTAAGGAGAAGGTTTCTCTTGGTGAGTCTTCCATTCACATAGAACAGTTTGCCATCATGTTTCTCTTTGTAAATCTACATGAGCACAAAGGGAGAAAGAAGGTGGAAACACAACCCATACATCTCTGGGCTCTGCCCACAATGGGTTGGAGCTCAGTTGCTCTTCATGTCGGGCAACCAAAAACCAACTTGGGAAGCACCAACAGAAGGACAAAGATGGTTTGACCCTGAGGCTCCCTCTGACTTTCCGCCTTTGTCTGAAGTACTAACAGGTGACAGTGTGGTTTCATAGTCCAAGGGATAGGAGTCTTTGGGCTCTGTTGGCATGGTCAGCTTTAACTCGTGCCTACATTCTCTGTGAGATGGGCAGGCTCTCATCTGTGTGTCAGGCACTGATATTCCTGATATTCCTGCCTTTCAGTCAACTCTCTGGCCGGTAGGAAGTTCATGTGCCATTCATATGCTCCCTGCACATTCCACCACTTGCTTTGTCAGGGACACTCCCTCCCATTACTATGTGTGGAACTCTCACCCATCTGTCAGGGCTCCTGCAGACATCACTGCACTGGGGAGCCCTCCCTGGTGACCTCATGCAGGAGGACTTCTTCTGGTCTTGGAACAGCCAAAACACTTCGCCTGCCTCTGCCTGACTTGTGGGAGGCTGGGCGGTATTGGACAAGTTCATGGGACATATGTCCTGGTAGGTTCACCTGGGGCTGGCTCCATGAATGGTTGTGACCTTAGTACTGGTGCCCTTCTCCATGGACTGTATTTTCTCATTCTCAGGTACACAGTGATTCCAGGCCATACCATTTTTTGAAGAATAAGAGCTGCTATCTGTCCATCTTTTAATATAGGCATGTTCTAATATTTACAATAGCGCTGTTTTACTAACATTAATTAGTCCAACTTTACAGATAAAGAAATCAAGACAGAGAAAGTTGAAGGTCCCCAAGATCACTCAAATAGCAAGAGGTGGGGCCACGTCTGGTTTTCATACAGTTAAACATAATGCTATACACCCTTCTGGGTGCGAGTCATAATCCATGTGTATATTATATGTAATTTTCTTTCATTCTTTTCTTACTGCAAAGAGCTATTAAATATATATATATATTTTCAAGCAATCACAACCTTCTTGGAATCAAAGAACCACAGGACTATTTTTAAAGTTAGGATGGGCGGCTTGAGACAACACTGAAGCCCTGCCCCAAGTCTCCAGGGTTCTGCTGCAAGCTGGAGGGCAGAAACTGTTCTCTTCAGCAGCGCATTCCCACAGCTTCCAGCATGGGTCCTGGTCAGAGTTGGTGCACTGTGCCAAATCTGGCTGTCTGAGGAGTGAGGGAAGGTGGAAACTAAGGAGTGAGAAAGAGGATGCAGTGAGAATTTGGAGTTAAGACTTTTGACCTGATTGGATGGAGGGAGGCGCTTGGTGGGGCTGGCAACAAGAGGAATTCTCTGCATACTCACCTGTGTCCACCCGGCCGAAGTCCACAAAGATCTGCAGCATGACAGAGCTCAGCAGGTACCCGAAAGCCGGTCCAAATACCGAGATAGCAAACAGGATGGCTGGAGGGCGGCAGGAAAAGGAGATTGAGCGGGATTGAGAAGGCACGACACCTGCAGGCTCCTTTCTAAGCTGAGGGATTCCTGAGCTGTCACTTCATCTGTCCCTGGCCCTGACAAGCTCATAGCTATGGCATTTCCCATAGAACCACTCAGGATCATGTGATAAACAAAGCTGTTCTCCAGCCTACTGCCTGAGAGATCTGCCACCTCGGAGACATTTAAAGAAGCCAGCCCAGGGGCACGCTGGTAGGCAAAGATCCCTGCAGAGACAATGCCAGCGGTCCTGGCAGGAGCGGTGGAGCTGTGGGGCCTGAGGGTGTGGTCTGTCTGTCTGGGGTTTGGGGCCTTATGACGCTCACTGTGGCTTGTAGCAATGGAAGAGTTTGGGCAATCAGACCACCAGAGTCTGTCTGTGCTGCATGCACTTCTTAACATCAACCTGTCCCTAAATAGGGGAGATATATGTGCTCCGGCCTGTGCCTATACGACTGGACAGCAGCAGTAGCTATACTTGACATGCGCCTGCGCGGTTACGTGATCACCAATCTACCAACTACATGGGTAATATTAGCCCTATTTTGCAGATGAGGTGTCAGGTCCTGGGTGTCTGCCACCAGGACAACACAACTGGTAGGTACAGTAGGCATTCAGACAGGGCTGCCCGATCCCTGGCCTTCACAAAGCATAACTCATTGTTATATTTCAGTGCAAAAGGGGACCTTGATCTAGACTCCCAGGCCCTGGAGCAAGGGTCCCATCAGGGCCTGACCCCTCCCTGCAGCCTCTCCAAGCATGAGACTCACAGATGTATAGGGGCGAGTTGTTGGGCTCCGAGAAGTCGTCCACATAGGAGATCCCGAAGGGCTGAATGGGCACTGTCCCGATGCCAGCCAGCAGCTGGGCGACCACCATGAGGCCCCACATACTGCTGGTCTCCTTCTGGGAGTCTTGGCTGGTGCTGTGGCACTTACTAGGGTGTGGGTCCTGCGAATGCTTTTGACAGAGTTCGGCTTGGAAGTGGCTGCTATTTCCTGCAAGAAAATGCACACCAGTCACCACCACCCCGTCTCCAGTCTCTGCCAGCTGGCCTCCAAACCTGGCCTTTCTCCCAGCGCCTTTGGAAGAAAGCCAACCCCAGGTCAGAGGCTGTGCTGGCACATAGGCCACGGCCCCTGAGGGCCACTTCAGGCCACTTGGCCAGCAGGAGTGATTCTAGAAACAAAGGTGAGAGTGTGGGATCTTAGGGGCAACCCTTTTGGAGGGGGTGGGGGGGTTGTCCTCTCATGGATGTCCATTCTTGCCCCTCTGTGGGCACTCACAGGGAGCTGAGCATAGAGGGACCAGTACTTTCACTCCTGAAGGACAGGGTCTCCCCACTGGAAAAGGGAGGTCCAGGATGGAAACCCAGACTTATTGGCCTTTGGGACCTCTGTACTCAGCCTTAGGCTGGGCCCCCTAGGTTTTGGTTCCCTTTAGGAGAGAGGTCAGTTAGTCCTATAAGAAATGGTGTCTCCAAAAACAATGATTGAAAAAGATACCTGCACCCCCATGTTTATTTCTGCTTTATTTACAATTGGAAAAACATGGAAGCAGCCCAAATGCCCAAAAGTAGGTGACTGGATTAAAAAGATGTGGTACATATATACAATGGAA